CATTAATACCGAAGTATTTTTCTGGCATAAAGAAATTTATTCCAAAAAAAGGTGAAAAGACAGCAAATATTTGATTTCACGCAAAAAGCGCCTTTGTATCTGTTTATACGTATTTCGACCTAATAGGTCTCATCAGAACAGCTATTCAAAGGTGTTCTCTATTTCGAAACTATTTTACGGTTTTAAATTTATTCCACATTCAACACCATGCACATTGAAAATATCATTATATGATTACTGCATCTAGTATTTACTATAGTTAGTAATTCTCTCCCTAGCAGTCATTTTTGCCACTGTCTTAAAGTATAAATAAACGTTACATATATTCTTCCGCTAATTTTTTATTCTCTCCTATAAATTCTTCTCTATTGCTGTGAGCTGTTGCTGTTGCTGTTGCTATATCTACCATAATGCACAACAGATCTGCTTTTTGAAACCCTCGACACTAAAAACAGTTTTAAACAAATGTACCGATTAAATTACTATTATTACTTGTGTCTATAGACATGCATACATCTTTTATTGATAAATAGGAAATAGAACCCCTATTCCACCAATTAGAGGGTGGAGATCAGTCAAACCGCCTGGTGGTGTACCACAGAGACCACCTAGAACCCGACACTTATACAACCGTATATAAAACAGAGGTAGAAATGCTCAGCGCCATACAATGCCAACGCTTTTCATAGACATACATAGGAATTGTTATTACTTTACACAATAAAAAAGTTTTTAATGCGTTAAATTATTAAAAAGGTAATAGTTTTTATAATGCTGTTTGAAAAAATTAACCTAAAATTAACATTAAATTGCAGAAAGGAAAAAGTTCGAATAGGCGATTGTACTGTATTCATCAAGATAAAAAAAAAATTTTAAACCGAAATATTAATTTACTGTTAATAAAGTGAGCACTTTTATGTAGTACAAACTCTGAATTGTCGATTGAGAGTAAACTTCATTAACGATATAGTAAAAAATGGAATTCGAAAATTAGAATTGAATAAAATAAAAAAAGATCTAGGTCACAGTATGGTTACATAAAATAATGCAGTGGATTTACTCATACTACGAGTAGTAAAACGTGTTAAATGCTTCTATAATTTTTAGTATTTTTGTAGATCATCCCGCATATACTTCACAGCCAGCCGGTTTCTACGTATTGATATTAAAACTTTCTATGAATCGAATTTCTATACACATTTATGCCCTTCTAAGAAATCTCGTCCGTATTAGAAAGCTATATTCCTGTAATCGTCTGAAGGAACCCGTCATGCAGCTAAGTATAAGCTGGTAATCGAGTTAGTTATCTCAAGCCATTCCATATCAGATATTTCGTATCTTTTTATCTTTTGTGTATTTTCTTCTATAACTCCTATCCATTATTTCCAACGACTGAGTAGCGGAGCATTTATACTTAAATGTGTATCAGTTTTTTAAACCTAGTTTCTCGTATCTTGGATTATTAAGTGTAACACACTATTGGCGCACAGCAGGGGGCGTTTCTTAATTAAAACTTTGTTAATTAAAGCTCTACAGAGTCTAAGGAAATATAAATACTTCTTTAAGATCATTTTTTAATAAATGAGAGGGTATAATAATACTAAAGGGTTGATGTTTTTAATTAAATAATTGTTTAATGAAATGTTAAAAAAAATAAAACTAAACAATATATAGGGTGAGTCACCACTAACGAGACGAAAGATTACAGCGGAACTGTAATAATTTTGAAAAAATTTTAAATGTATAGTATGTAGGTTGATAAAGTTTATTAAAGTATTAAGAAAAAATAAAAAAAATGGAATCTCGCTAATATCGGTTAATCTGCAGTCTTTGTCTAGTGCTAATAAAATAAATATCACTCACAGAATCATTATATTGCTGGGGGATCCCCTACTTCCTGTTAGTTTAGATTTATGACCGTTGGATGGGAAATGTTCCATTGGGAAATTGATGGAAAAATTTCAAATGAATGACATTCACTTAACCATTTGATAAAAATACTGAAAATAGCTACAAGAAATAGGAATACCAGAAAAATAATCAATCTCATCAAAAAACTTTACGGTGATACAGAAAGCAGACTCCTACACAACGGCATAACATCTGACTCAATAGCTCAGCTAAACGGAGTAAAACAGGCCTATGTTTTATCCACCCTACTATTTAACATTGTAGTGGACTCCGTACTAACAAAGTCTGATAGAGAAATTTACTGGGTATTAAATAGACTGGAATGTCTAGATTACGCTTATGATATATGCCTCTTAGCACATACAAAACATGACATATAACCCCATGTAAACAGATTACAAGAAGAATCAAAGAAGGTTGTTTTAGAAACAACCATCAAACAAAACCAGAGAAATGCCATTGGGTACCATAAATAACCAGCCTATTATAATCAACAACCAGGAAATTGAGAAAGTGGTAGAATAATATCGCTAATATAGAATAATGACTACAATGTGATTTACAACATATTTATGGAAATCCAGGATTTATCCAACTAAAACGAAAGTAAAAATCTTCAACACAAATGTAAAAGTGGTATTACTGTATATGGCTTCTAAACATGGGAGATATCAGCACCCATAGTATACCATTTACAAGTTTTCATCAATAGAGCGTTACGAAAAATGCTTGGTATATTTTGGCCTAATCCAATCTTGAATGAAAATTTATGGAAACAAACCAAGAAATTATCATAAAAGAAATAAGGGGAAGAAAATGGAGATAACTGGGCCATACACTCCGTAGATATTCCGATGATATTGCCAAGACAGCGCTGGATTGGCATGCTCAAGGCGACGGAAAGAAGCCCTATGTTCCTCTTAGGAATCTCGACAACTAACGTCAGCTAACGGCAATGTACTTCAGTTCAATCGTTGAAACCCTACGATTTTAAACCATACGATACTTGAAATGAAACACTTATCCACAATATTTTTTGTCTTCTGTTGACAAACAGAATTGGCACTAAAAGGGCGTCTCTTGTTCCGTTATTTTTGTGTGATATCCTACAAAAATAACGGAAATGAAACAAGGAGCGTTTAGCACGTTTCAGTAGAATGACCAGAACAGACTTTTAGAGATAAAGTACAAAGCATTCATGCGGTCTAGTTCATAATAGCCACTTTTTATTAAACGAACTATACAAATTTGTTTGTGTAATTAAATCAAAGATTTTGGCGGCTCTACACTGTAGTGGAACATCTGTTAAGAATCCTGCCGTCTTTCCCTCTGAGTTCTCTTCTTCGATTAAAAAGGAGTAATAACTAAAAATAAGATCAAATAAGATTGTTACATTTATTAATGCCACTTTCTTGATATGCTTCTTGATCTTGATCTAACGTGTATAATTGCTTTTTGAAATTTAAATACCGACTTAAAAAAAGACGGATTATCATTCAAAAATATTCTAGAAAGTCCTAGCAAAATGCAGGAATGCTGGTCTGGCAAGTAATAATTCACGTAGAAATTTAAAAATTATAAACAATTGGGAACATAATTTAGCAATATTGAACCTATCTATGTCTATGTGCTTTTAGCAGTTTTTATGATTGAGTAAAGTGTCCACGCCATTACCTAAATTAAAAAACTAGCATTTTCGGTATGGACGTAATAATAACATATTAACAAAAGTTTTCAGATCCTAACGGTTTGATTCGCAAATTTAATATTTAAATAAAGGCTTTACATTTACAATCACTATTAATTTTAAATTCATTAAACATAATTACGCAAATTATGGCGAGTGATTTGTAAAGAAGAGTTTTAACCCGTAATTCCTATCTTTTAATTTACCTCATTATTGAATCATGAATATTTTTCATAAGAAATAAAACTTTAACAAACTATAAAATGTTTCTAAATTTTCACCAAACAAATTATTTACAAACGACCTCTGCATCGTGTCATTTAAGTTCATATTAACGTTTCGCTATCTTTTAGTTTAGTTTAGCAGTTAGCTTTTGGTCACGGTATCTCGAGTATTCAACACAGCTACAGGCGAAAGCAACGGCTGTGGAGAGATTAACTCACAGACAGTAACTTAAATACTCGATGTATCCAGAGATGAATGTGAATTCGTCGAAACCGATCGTTTTTCGGATCCGCTACCATTCTCGTGTGTCTTCGGATGTTGAGAGTTTTTGTTAGCACCTGTCCTGATGGAGCGTTCTCTCAGATAATGCAGAGTTGGACTAAAAAGGTGAAATAATAAGTAAGCCTTCCTTTTAATTTATACTTGGTGTGTGCCTTTAGATTTCTAGGAATTTCAGTATTTTTAGAGGATTATTGGGCACTTTTACGTCCTATCTCTATCTCCAAAAAAATAAAAAGTTTACTACTCTACGAGACACTAAATCGTTTGTTTCCAAGAAAAAATATCTACTGTTTCTTACACCTGTGTTGCTATTTTATTTGATACCGATACTCTACATAAAGTAACAGTTTCTGGTAGTATTATTTACTGAAAATCAACATTAATTCAAGGTTAAATTACTGGTGGAAGGAACGCTCTTTTGTCAATCTAAATACACATTAATTCAATCAAATATTTCCAAAATTCCTTGACATAATTCTTCTAGAGCCTCTAGGAAATACATAACTCTGATTATTAGTGCGGAAGTGTGGAATTGTTGAATTAACTTTTATTTACAGTAAACTATCACTAGCTACCTACACCACTATATTTTCGTACGTAAACATAAATGGAAATAAAAACAAGAATGTGTCTGTCTAAAAAATACTTTACATTGTTACCGTCCATTTTGATATTAAAATTTGTCCTCCTTATTTTTAATTACTTCAAAATCGTGAGTAAATAAATGTATGTGAAAATTTAGAAAACATATGTAATACAATTCTAATGAATATTAGAACAAAAAGTAGAAAAATATTAACCCTTGTTTCATTTTTGAATAAAATGATTTACTGTGTGCAATTTAACATTAGAATTTATTTGTTACCAAGTTTTAATTTGTTACTTTTGTTTTCAGAATCGTTACTAAGCACGATGACTAAACTCATCGATGAGAAGCTAAAAGAAGATACATCGATTTTATCTGGCGACGGAATTCCTTTCGTCGATGAATCCCCCGAAAAGCACCCAAAGAATTCTTATCCAGATAAGGAAAATATCCCCCAGGCTAGTGACTTGTACAGAAATCCCAGTTTACATAAAAACCAACTCAAAATGTCGAAAAAGGAGGACAAAGAGTATAAAAACGATAAAGAGAAGGAAGTAGATACGATGGCTATGGAAAAAGTACCTGATAATGATAGAAACATTGCTAAAACTTTAGTGTTTTCAAACAACAACAAGCTCAACCAGAGCGGAACAAAATTAAGACGATCTGAGTCTTTAAATAAGCCAGAACGAACGGTCTCACCTCTGAATAACAAATTGAAAAGATCTGAGAGTTTAAACAAAGCTGGAGACAGATTGAAAAGGTCCGACAGTTTAAGTAAAAGCGAAAAAACGGAGAGCAACATCAATCGAAAACGAGAAATAAACCTTAGCAACCGCAGAGTTAAAGATTCCGTAAAAAACAAAAGGAAAAACGGAATGCCGGATCGTTCGATCAAGAGGAGGCACACCGTAGGTGGTACAAAAGATCCTGATAAAATAACTTGGGCAATGGACAATAAGAATCAACAAGCCGACTCCAACCAAGAGACCAAGAAAGAAAAGAATCTTAGAACCAGCTCACCAGATTTGAGCTCTATGCGCCGAGATAGATTTTTCTTTGAAATCAATCTGATAGGACCTGAAAATATGGTCGTAGCGCTGAGACAGCATCTTATAGGCGCTCGGCCTCAAAGTTTTCCTGAGTCTTCAGTGTTTAAAGTGCCTCTTGAGTCGCATGTGTGATTAAGAGTACGTACATGAACAGGAAATGTATGTATTCATTTTGTTGGAGTTAATATTTTTGAAAGTAATCAAAATTGAACAGAAAGCTTATTCAATATTGCAAATTTTCCAAGTTGACTTGATTAAATTTTGATATTTGGCAATAATATTGTGTAGATATTGTAAAATCTCAGCATTTACTGTTATAGCTGCTTATCAAAATGCATTTTTGTGAATGTAATATGGACTAAGAGAACTTCATTGTTTTACATTATCTGTTACATAACATTACATACATTTATACAATTCTATTCAAGCTTAAAGTACTGATGGTAGCGAGAACTAGTTGAAATTTCGAGTTGGAGATGAATTTTGGTATTTTTTTTTGTTTATGCAAACACTATACAAACATGTAAGTTTTTGCTTTCCTGGCTCTTCTATTTAATTAAAATTACTTTTTTTATGGTTCAAAATAAAGTTTCATGATGATACATAATTTTTTTAACAAAATCTGGTGAGCACTGTCCAAGTTAAGATAATACTAGTACCTGAAGTAAAATTTAAATACATCAATGTTTTTAAACTTAAGCAGCTGTAACAATTGTATTTTAGTAAAAACTTATAAATTGTTGTAATAATTAGTACAATTCGAAAATATACGTAACTCCTTATGCTATGGTTTAGTAAAGTATACTAAAATAGAGAATAAAGAAGCTCTGATTATAAAATTTGTTTGATATCCAGTCAAACGGATTACTTAAATTGAAAGAGGTGCCTTCAAATAACGGAAACATCAATATTTTAGACTGATTTGTGTCCAGTGTGCAATAATTGTGCATTTTTATGTATTTGTTATCAAGGTATGAAGAATGAGAGATATTCACTTTTGGAACAAAATTAATAATAGTTGTTTATAGCGTATTTATATCCTGCACAGTAGTTTTAATCGAAAACAGCCTAAAGTTCTTTCTAATATTCTTTTATAGGAAATTTTGATTTAATACTTATTTAAAAAGTTGTGATACGTCGTATAAGGGACAATGTGTTGTGTGTTTTAATGTTTGGCTATCAAAATGGTTATGAATGTGGTTTTCTTTTTCGAATGAAACTTTTTTTTGCTTAGGAATGAAGTAAAAGACGGACCAACAAATTTCAAGTATTTCTCAAAATATAAGATTCTTCTTCTTTGGGTGCCGTCTTTTTAGCGAAGGTTGGCGATGACCTCTGCAAAGTCTTCCCTATTTTGGGCTTTCCTTATTAAACGTTGAAAGTCTAATCCTGTCCAATCTTTGATGTTGCGCAGCCGGTTCATTTGTCGTCTACCAGGGCCGCGTCTGCCTTCTATTTTCCCTTCTATAATAAGCTGAAGGAAGTTATACCTGTCGTATCTAAATATGTGTCCAAGAAGACGTTTTACGCTGCTTGACAATTTCTGTGAGTTCACGTTCTCTATTCATACGCCTTAAAACTTCTTCATTTCTATATAAAAATATAAGATAAAAGATAAGAAAAAATATAAGATAACTTACTTTTTTTCATATTTCATTCTTAGTTATGAAGGGTAATCAGAATGTTCCAGCGCAATGGTGGTTTGTCGTTAGGATGTCAAACTTCCCGTACTCGAATCGGTATCAATAGAGTGTTATGTTATAGTATTTCAGCATCCCTGTTTCATCAGACACTCGGGCTGAGGCAAATTCAAACTCGGAAAATCCAACAAATGTCTCCTAAAACTTGACCACTGCAGTGGTTAGCGTACAGAGGTGCCACCTACTTTGGTGACGATGAACGAAAACGATTTAATAATATCGTTTTCTGTCCTCTGGGCTATACGAAATTTGTAAGAGGTGTGTCTTTTATAAATCCTTTGATCAGCGCGCTATTTACTTTGATTCTCACGCCAGTCTTAATTTAAAATATAACAATTTGGGCTGAGTAATGTAAACATTGGATGTATATTCTATTCCAATAGACACTTAAAGCATGTTTACTCGTGTATGGGAACACATTAGACTTTTCCGTAGTGACGATACGTTTTAAAAAGTTTTCGGCACCATTTTTTATTTTTAGGAGTTACTGGGAGATCTGAACTAGGTTTAGTCTTTGCTCCTACGTCAACAGTCCCGGAACATAGTTTGTAGCCACATTGTGGTTGCTTGTGGTCAAAATTTATTTGCATGAACCAAATGGAATGTTGTATGAAACGAACATGGAAACATTCTTAACACCATAATCGATTCTATCCGGCATTCATCTACAAAAATCCTTTATACAAAAACGCCTAATCAATAAACGGGTTCTACAAAAACAGTTATAACTTCGTAAAAACAAAAGAAATTGAATGCTGAAAAAAAAAACTTTAGATCTGAGTCACGGTAAACAAATTGTCCTGAAAAATATAATGATAGAAATTCCATTGCGCCTTTCAGAACTTTTCTTGTTCTGTGTCTTGCTCGAATGCTTACTTTTAATCAAAATATATTCATCTTATAAAATCATCAATTGATGCGGCTTATTAAACTGCACAAACGTCGTCCCTTGGTTATATATTTTTATACATATAATTAATATTTTATATATATTTTAAATAGTATTTTAGGACAAAACTAGGTTTTCTGGATATATTTTAGTATTAAATTTATTCTTTATGTTCCAAAAGGAGATCCTCACAATTAAACTATGAGTTTAATAAACGACAGAATTATTATTTAATACAACATGAAGGAAATGAAATTTCTAACCAATTAGTCTAAACCTCAAGACAGATAGATCTGTATTTGTTTAAGAATTATTTTCTATACGTAGGTTATATATCAATGTACGGTTATTTTTACGCTTTTAAACTTCTAAGTGTATTTAAGTCTTTTATAAGCCAAAAATATTCTTTTTCCCATAGTTTTCCTATCTTCAATAGTTTAGCTTCATTATTCAGTAGAAAACATTATAATTTTTTCCTCAAGACAAATAGTTGTTAATGAGTTACCTACAGATTCATGTTTAAGACTTTTTGGGTGTTTTAGGCTGCTTTATTGCGCAATCTCCTCTGAGAAGATTGGTGATCATCACGATAATTCGTATTTTTGAGGCCTCTGCTCCAAACATATCAACGGAACTATATTTAAACCAGATCCTCAAATCTTCACACCATGAAATACATCTCGTTATTGTTGTTCGTTTTTTATGTTAAGATGTTAATCCGTTATATTCGTTGTTGCTGTAGATCCTGCAGGTATCCGGTTGTTAGGACCATATCATCTGTCATGTCATCAATCGTATATTTTTGACATGTTGACCGTCTACTTTTATAACAGTCATTGATCCTTCCAATATGTCATTGAATATTTTTCTGGATAGATGTCAAATATGTACAGGGCATCACACAATCTTGCCTGATATACCTTAAAATAAAAATAGAGGATGCAAATCGGAGGGTCAGATGTATTTTGCTGAAATAAAACTGGATAAATTACTTGAGATTTATACTGCTACGAGTAAACAATTTCTAGCTGCGTATGTCTACAAATTATCCATCAATGTACTAACAACGAATTGTATCAGCCAACCCGTTGAGCTTTTGAGTCGAAGTGATGGTTCTGATCATAAAATTGTAGATCCCTATTTCTCTAATTCAGGATTTATACTTTTAATACATTCTGTATATTCAATATCGTCCTTGTGGTCGTCTTCTTTGTAAAAAATTCGTAAATTGATGTTCCTTTTTTGTATCTTATATACTTTTAATGGTCTTATCATCATACATTGTACATGTAATTATAAAGGCTCATTACACTCCAAATGTAATAAAAATTACACGGATTACATGGATTTGTATAATTTACGTAATACAATTTTATCTTCTATTCGAGTTTAGACTAACTGGCAATATATACATAGCGCATTTATTTGTTATTTTTTTTATATATAGTTTGCTTTGATTACGATGTGATTTTGAGTATAATTCCAATTTAAAGCAAATAAATTTGTGATATAACGATAGTTTAGGCTTGTACATAGGAATATTGTATGTTTGTTCAAAATTAACTTATGCCCTTCGTCTTCAGTGTGTTTCTATAGAACAACAAATGCCATTGAGCTAAATCATCATTTCATTTGAGTTAGATTCTGTGAATCTCAACCGCTTTGAGTCACTAATCATACATAAACTAAGACATTAAACATAGTTGACATTTTACATTAGACAGGGTATCCACAAACTCTTGTTACGGTAGAACTAGGTAGGTACTTATAAAGAAGGAAGATGGTGCTGTTAAAAAATAAGATACAGTACTTACTAGTTTATTTAAAATATATTTTTAATAGTAAGATTTTGTAAAATCTGGATATACGAATGAGAAAATCTTATTCATAAGTAATCATGGTATTAAGTGGATAATTTATGACTACACAGGCATTTTATAGAATATTTTTGAGTATATTTCAATAATTTGAACGACCAGATCGCCATCTTTTAACAATTGTTTCTACTTGTATATGGATATGTCAGAGGTTGCTAATTTTGCAGTTTTTTATTTATTTGTGTAAGAGTTTGTGTATATTCTGTGTTCAACGTTTTACACAATTTAAGCTGCTACTAGTAGCTCCATTCCGTGGAAAATATGTTTCTAGATGAAACAAAGTTATGGAATGGCTTGTGCAGGTTGTGTTGTGATAAATGTTATTATATTTGGCGCCATTTACTCTTTTATACTCTCTTTTTCACTTTCATACTTCATAATATAAATAAAGCATATTTCACCTTAATTCTTAAATTTTTTTCTTATGTTCTAAAAAAGTATAGGAAAAATTGGTAATAAAAAGAACTTAAAGAGAAAAGGAAACATTTTTCGAAACATGTTTAATCGCTGTAGTTTAATGTCAGTTGTCACCCTGTAGCTAATTTCCAATTAAATAAAGCTCACTATGTATTTCTAAAGAGTTTATATTGTTATAAAATATAAATGTAAGTAATTGGTACATTAAATTGTTGAAACACACTGAAAGATCATACTTTTATTAGCATATATTTATATATCCATTTCCTTTAACAGTATTTTCGTACTGTGCCAAAAAGAAATATTGTATCAATTTTATGAATGAATACTTGCTTGACCGTTTCGAAGAAAAAACAAATTTTTGGCTTATTTTGTACATAAAAAATTTTTATTATCGCTTGTGAGTTGGTGTAAAAATGGTAAAATCTTAAATAACTACTAGGCTGTTTGTATTTCTTGCCTGTTATTGTTTTTATAGTTTTAAGCCCCAGATATGTATGTGTTGTTGTAATTTTGTGAAAACTGTAAATATATTTTCAAATTATGCACCAAAATGTTGTTCTTATTTCGATGCGATAACTGGAATACCAGATTCGGGACAGATTACATCGCAACAATAAATAGATAATTTATAATTTATATTGGAATCAAACTGCCAAGGTAAGAGTTGACAGCCAGTACACCGAAAATATTAAAATACAGAGGGGAGTCCGCCAGGGTTGCGTGCTGTCCCCACTACTTTTCAATGTCTACAGTGAAGCGGTATTTCACGAAGCGCTTTCAGACTCAATAGAAGGTATATCTATCAATGGAGAAGTTTTGAATAACTTACGTTTTGCAGACGATACAGTAATAATTACGGATAACAACAATGATTTACAGAACGTAATGCAACGCCTTAA